GGAAGGAAGGAAGGAAGGAAGGAAGGAAGGAAGGAAGGAAGGAAGGAGAAGAGATGGGATGGGATGGGATGAGGGAGGGAGAAGAAAGGAAGGGGAAAGAGATGGGAGAGGGGAGGAAGAAGGAAGGTAGGAAAGAAGGAAGGAAGGAGAAGAGATGGGATGAGGGAGAGAGGAAGTAAGGAAGGAGAAAGATGGGAGGGATGGGGAAGGGAGGAAGGAAGGGAAGAAAAAAGGAAGGAAGGGAAGGAAGGAAGTAAAAAAGGGGAAGAGGAAGGAAAGAAGGGAGGGAGGGAGAGACTTCCTCCCCCAAAAATGTTGACATAAATTCAGGGAAATCCGTGGGAAAAGCATTCCCCTTCCCATCCCCGGAAGAGAAGGAGAAGGAGAAGCGGAGCAGGAGGTGGTTTTCAATGAGAAAAAATTGTCCACGTCCTTGTTTATTTAGATAATTGGCTGAAAGTTGTGTAACCGCCCAGCTTCCATGAAGACCACAGAGTTTGGAGGTCAAAGCACCCCATTCCTGCCACCGTATCTTTGGTGCTTCTGTCCCGTGCAAATCAGCTGGACTGGGCAGGGTAGCTGTCCATCACGGTGGATCCCTGCCCACTGATCTCCTTTGCCGCAAGACTCTGAACTCTATTTTTGCAATAATGATGTAAAGCCTTTGTCTTCTTCTTAGGGCAACTTTGACAACTGCCTGTGGTTTTTGCCTTCAGGGAGCTGTCACTTGGTAATTAAGGAGCCCAAGGTGACTTCTCTCCTCGCTGCACTGCAAAGATCTCCTTTTCCACCCTCCACCCTTCAATTGCTTTAGCATTCAGGGATGTAGTAAGTCGAGGCAAAATGGGAATCAGGTGTGATTGTGTGTTTGGGTATGGGTCTGTCCCTATAGGCATTGCACGGAGCACAGACGAAGACATGTTCACTGTTGGTAGAACTGGGAGAAGAGGGGATGAAATGAGAATAGAATGGAATGGAATGGAATGGAATGGAAGAGAAGAGAAGAGAAGAGAAGAGAAGAAAAGAGAAGAGAAGAGAAGAGAAGAGAGAATAGAATAGAAAAGAATAGAATAGAATAGAATAGAATAGAATAGAATAGAATAGAATAGAATA